AAAATTTGCTGAATTTTTTGTAATTTCTTGTAATTATTGATATGAAGAAATTCATGCCACACTCTGACATTCCTTTTTTGAAAAATAAATTGGAAATCAGAACTAATAATACGCTGTTAGACTTTTTTATTTTTAATATCAAAATCAATAAATTACCCGCAATGTTAAAGACGAATATATGAAGTTTTATTCATTTTTCGCAAATTTTACTGACTTAGCGTTTTATTTGAAATATTGATGATAAATAGTTCATAGAGGATGGAGAGCGTACGATGAAATCACGATCTTTCTTTTTTCATTCAAAATTATCCCATTTTGTCGTAGTTCGGTTCCGTCTACGACCGAATTGAACTTTGAAATTACTAACAATGCTTGATGAACTTTTTCATATTCCTGTTATTTTGTAGAAAAAATTTTTGTTGTTTATTTAAGAAGAATAAGAGTATTTTTAGAGTTAAACTTTGATTTGTAAAATTATTCTACAGTTTTTTGAAGTAAACCTGAACATTAAATATCATCCTTTGTCAGGTTTAAGAATTAAAACCGAATATTTTTTTGTTATTGCAATTTAAATAAAAATGTAATAATATGATTTTGATTCAAATTTCCTTTTTCATGAAAAGTTTTTTTCAAAGAGAAAAGCAATAATTTATTTTTTCAGAATCATATATAAAACAAAAATAAAAAGAAATTCGACAATTTATTTTCTCTCACCACTATTAACTGGATTTTGAAAGTATCGAAAACTTGAAGCGATATAAATAAAATTGTGCGAAAAATGTTATCGATGCTTTGCATAAATTCCTTTTCACAATGCAATAAAGTATTTAAAATGAAATTGCTCAGCATGAATGCTTAAACATCGATTTATTGTTACACGGAGATTATTAATACAAGTGCTTGTCATTCCCATTTGTGTAAGCAATGATATGTACGATCCTCTGACAGTCACTAATGAATATTGTTGAGTGATCTCTGTCAAATTGCCTTCCACAAATTTCATTCAAAACTATTATTTCATTTTTTCAACAAAGAATATCAACTTTTTTTTTCGAAATTTAGCGTTACGTGAAAAATTTTAGAACTTCACAATAAATATTCTGTAGAATTCAGTTTGAGTGCCCGCGGCTGATTTCCAGCAAGAATAAATTGCTAAACTTTTTTTTGATAAAGAAAATGTCCTTATTGTATCAGCAATGAGTGAATGACTAATTTTTGCTTTCGGGTCTCACACATTTAAAAATGCATGATTTGGTAGAAATTTCGACTTCAAACAAATTTGTCAAAGAGCAAGCAGTGTGATTTCTTACAAACAACTATTCAGTATATCGATAAATTTAAATATTTTCAGAATTGGCAAGAAATCATATCCACCAGCATGTATTTCATCTGCTTTTTCCTTCTCTTCCAATCAAAAATCCAAATCATAGTAAGTTCATCAGAGATTTAAAAAAATGTATACCACTGTGATATTTCGAACATTTCATATTTTCAACATTGATTGAGACGGATAATTTTATATATTTCCGGAAGCACAAACGGAGCTAATGGAGCTTTATCTGGTGCCAAAAATGAGTGAGGAAGGATTGGAACCACACGGTTCATTAATTAAAGAAGCGGATAAAGAACAATCGATTTTACCAATTGAACGAGTGAGTGCTAAACGTAAATTGCAATGTGATGTTGGCCATAAAGAAATACCGAATTTGAAAAGACATATGAGGATTCGTACTGCACGCGGTTGTTCGTTATGTGCGAAAAGTTTTTCTAAATTATCCAATTCGAGTATTCATAAGAGAAATTATCCCCGTAAGAAGCCAATTAACATTCCGAAAAGCATGGAAAGTATTTCTAAGCTATCAAAGTTGAATGTTCGTGCGAGGATTCATGATGGTAAAATGATGTGCATTTGTTCAAAATGCAACAAAACATTTCCTAAACCATCGCATTTGACACTTCATATGAGGATTCATAACAATGAAAAGCCGTTTAATTGTACAGCATGCAAAAAAGGTTTTGCTGTCCATTCGAATTGGAGAAATCATGAAAGGATTCATACCGGTGAAAGACCTTACAATTGTACGGAATGCAAGCAAACTTTCGCTCGATCATCTATTTTAAAAAATCATAAAAGAATCCATACCGGTGAAAAGTCGTATAATTGCTCCATATGCAAGAGAAGTTTTTCCCGACATGACAGTATGAAAAGGCACATGAAAATTTGTGAGAATAGCAAATCCCTTTTCAGTTGAACTTCAATGAAATTCACTTTGAAATTACGCATGAAAAAGTTCTACGTTGAAAAATGAAACAGCTAAGAGCATTTTAAGATTAAATACGCATTGCTCTTTCCAGGCAAATAGGCAAACTATTTTATTCATTTAATTTCTGCAATTTAATTAACTTTGATTAACTTTTAATCAATTCTCTTCAATTTTTGCTGTCATCATTATTTTTTGCTTATGAGTTGTACATTACAATGATCATTATTTTTCTGCCATGTCTTCACTTTATTTTAAAGAATAAAATTCTCTCTGTCATATTTATTACAGAAATTTCACTCAATCATCAAGTATGAAAACACATATGCTGATTCATGACCATAAGCTATTTACGGTTAATGGTTTCAACAAAATGTTAAGTTAGTGAAATTTTGCAACAAATGAATGAAAACATATTTGTTCTTTAGCTTAAACATTATGGATAATTTATCGATTTTATTTTGAAAATAAAAAAGTGTATAATAGCGTATTATTAGCTCTGATTTTCCATTTTATGAAAAGTTTTTTTTTCAAAAAAATAATGCATTGCATAGGACACAAACTATATGGCTAATGCTATGCAAATAGCAATATTTCTAGAAGGTAATTCTAGAATTGAACGAGTTAGTTTTGGAACTTTATTTTCTTCTTTTTTTTCTTCTAATTAATTTTTTTGAATCATTATCTATTTTAAGCTGTGCAAAGTGTAATTTTTAGATATTTTATCCAGAATTTCAATCTCATCTACAGTATGAAATTCATAAGAAGCAAACCGAAGGAATGAGTGATATGATGTCATTTTATTTGAAAGGTGAATTGGATGAAGGTAAAAGGCATAAATGAGTCCAACAGTCTGATAACAGAAAATAGCACTGGCAACAGCTGGCGAAGGAAAATATTGATGAGAAAGTGATAAGATCATAGTGATAAGAGCAGATAATGGGAGGATTATAGAGATAAAGCTGGTATTTGAAGATAAAATATCAGTATTGAACATCTCTGAGCATTTGTTTGAATCACAAATTAGTATTTAAATAAGATCAAACAAACGAAAAATCTCAGGTGTAGTTTTTTTTGGATTTTTTGATAAATAACTTTTTGATGAATAATTTTTATAATTAAAAATATCATCATATGGTCATTTCATTAATTCGAATTCGATTATTTCAAGAATTTGTGATTTTCTTTTTTAAATCACGTACTTTTAGAAGAGGTGAACATTGTCGCTTTAGTAATATAAATGCTACTTGAGAATGTCAAATTTAGTTTTTGTCATACATTAGATGAAACAAATCGATGAAGTAATATAGAAAGAATTAAAAATTTCACTTCTTTTTAAATACGATTTCATTCAAATTCTAACCTCTCTTTCGTGTTTGTTAATAATCAAGTTTCTCATTCCTTGATTTCTTTTTAAATATTTAAAATAATTGAATCATTCTTCTATACTTATGATAAAGTCATATTATTTATAAGGATGTGAATTTCATGATGTCAAAAAATAGAGAAAGCATTGGTGACATAAAATGTATCATTATTAACCGGAACCACGTCTGTGAGATCGAAGATCATCATCGCTGATAGACTGTAAAATGATAGCTCCCAGTAAGCAACATAAGCATACAATAAGCCAAAAGAGTGTATTCGGATCTTCAAGAAAACTTTGCGGACGACGAATTGTTGCGTTATTGATGTCATTTCTGAAATGTTTAGTTCGAAATGCATAATTTTTAAGGAATTTTTTTAATTTAAATACTGCATAAATTATGAAAAAAAAATCTGTGAAGATGTTGATTTCCTAAACAAATAATTCTATTCTATAGCTTAAGGAATTTTATTTAATTTTTATACGAAATATTTTTCATGTAAAGGAATTTTATATTTGATTTTTTTATACGAAATATTTTTTAACGTTGGTTATAAGAAAATTTGTAAAGATGTGATTTCTTGAACAAGTAACTCTATAGATTGACATTTTTTATCGCAACTTTAATTAATTTAATTATTGTCAGCAATTTGCTATAAAATTATTTGCTTGCCAGCAAATACGGTATTGTAAATTTTGAGAAAATGAGCAATTTGATAAATTATTGTTAACTTGAAGTTGCTTTCATCAGTTGCTAGCTGTTCAGAAGTTGCTTCCGATTTAAGGATCATTTTATGAACAGGTAAATCTTCTATAGTACATTCAGTTTCCGGATTGATCATTGCTAAAATCTCTTAATTTTTTAAAAAAAAATAAAAGTAATGGCCCTAAATTGACAATTTAATATAAATTCAATTAAAATTTTTATATATTATGAATACATAACCAAATAATTATATGCCTTTTCTCAGAATAGATAATACTTTGCTAAATATACATGTAATTTGATCTTTGATTCTATTGCCAATTTTAAATTTCATAACACTGTGAATTTTCAACATTTGAAACTATCCTTTGCCTTGTTCTACCATTGGATAAACCTTTAAACTATCATATTGTCAGGTTTTCGTTTTCTTGGTGCCAAATGACGAAAAATTACTTGGTATATTGCAGATTAATTACCTTTAAATTTTGTAAATTCATCAGCAACTTCTTTACCAGATTCAATATCAATTAATTTCATAAAAAGTTGCATTTTCGGTTGAGGCGTATCTGTCCATTTCTCTACAGCTTTAGGCCGCTTCCACATTAAATTCACTTCATTGCTTCTAAGCTTTTCAATACGACCAGATGTCGCTGGTTCAGCCTGTTAAAGTTTCTCGAAAAGAAATATGATAAATAACTGAGAATGTGAGCTAAACAAAGGATGGAAAAAACGATCGGATAAATAAACTGACAAAGATAAATGCAAAGAAATTAATAATTAAATATTGTGCTCAAATTAATTTTAGAAAAT